TGACACAATGAAAGTGGAATTAAGGAAGATTATTTACCAGAAGAACTGGATAGTGTCTGCATTTTTCTTTTCTTACACTCCGTGTATTGGTCTTTTTTTTTTTTCTCATTCCAAGTAGGTGAAACACTGTATTAATCAGAACAGGTTAGCTTATGTTGCAGCCACGAAATAACCCTGAAATCACAGTGGCTTAATCCATAGTGTGTTTCTTGTTTGCACCACTTGTCTAATACAGTTGGGTGGGTCATGGGGTGGGAGTTCTCACTTACTCATTCAGGGACCCAGGCTGACAAAGGTGCCACCATCTAGAACATTGCCGGATGCTGTGGCAGAGGAGAATGCCGCTCCCTCACACTTCAGGCTGGAAGTGACACACGCCTCTTTTGCCCCCAGCCCATTAGTCAGAGGTAGTCACATGCTCTTCCTCCCCACCCTCAAGGAACTTGAGGCTATTTGTTGAGCAGTGTGTGTCTCTTTCAAGGCTTTCTGAGGACCTGGAACATACACGTTTCTTTGTTTAAGAGAGAAAATATGATGATGAAGAGTGCAGACCCTGGAGCCAGACCCCAGAGTGTAGAGCCTGGCTGCCCCGCTTGCTGTGACCTTGGGCAAGTTACTCAGCCTCTGTAGCATAGTTTCATCATCTGGAAAGTGCGACTGGTAATAGAACAAGCCTCACAGCATTCTTGTGAGATGTAAATGAGCACTTTATATATGTAAAGTGCTTAAAGCACTATGCTATAGAATTGTTAGCAAGTATTTATTATTGTTGTTAGTCATCATTTAATCTGCTGGCTTCTGGTACAGCATCCTAAAGAAAGGCTAAAATTTCTGACTCTCATCAAGAGGCCTGGGGGAAAGAGGTTGTAATTAGGTGTGCCATGGCCAGTGTCTGGACTAGGATGATGATAGTGGGCAAAGAAAAAGATAGGCAAGGCTGGGCGCGGTGGCTTACGCTTGTAATCCCAGCACTTTGGGATATATCACTTGAGGTCAGGAGTTCGAGACCAGCCTGGCCAACATGGTGAAACTCATCTCCACTAAAAATACAAAAATTAACTGGGTGCGGTGGTGGGCATGTAATACCAGCTACTCGGGAGGCTGAGGCAGGTGAATCATTTTGAACCCAGGAGGTGGAGGTTGCAGTGAGCCAAGATTGCACCACTGCACTCCAGCCTGGGTGACAGCAAGACACCATCTCACCAAAAAAAAAAAAAAAAAAATAGAGAAAAAGAAAAGATAGGCAAGAGTGCGTGTAAGAGGAGAGCACCCAGGTAGGGATTTGTTCACCACCTGAATCCCATGGTTGAGACAAAAGTATCAGGTGTGGGTGACAGAGAATGCAGGTAGAGTTTGCAGAGAAATTCAGGGGCTTGAGGGGAAATCTGAATTCAGATGTGGTGGTGGGGAGATGTCCAAGGCCCTGGGGGAAATAGGAAAGGGAGGAATGGAGCTCAGGCTACAGGGTGGAACCTCTTACTAAGCAAGTTTCAGTAAGTGGTGGCGTGAATGCTCCAAGTCAGGCCACGGGTTCGGGGGCCGGAGTGTGGGATTAAACCGGCTCTGCCACACCATGTGACCTTGTTGCTGTAGTTTCCTCATCAGCAAGATGGGGATGATACTCATACCATGTCTTAAGGTAGTGAGGATTAAATAAGATGATGCCCGTAGAGGACTTGGAAAGTGGCATGTAGTCAGTGATCAGCAAGGTCTTAATCGAATAGAAATTTGGGGGCTGTCTTTTAAGCAACCCACTTTTCTGAGTTTAATGAAAACCTTCCATTGGCAGCAGTTCTGATAAGTACTCATGTAGTCCTCCCTGGGTTCAAAATAATGGCCTTGTCACCAGGTCACTTGTAATCCACATGCTTTTCATTTTCTCATTCTTCACCCAAATAGTCAGTGAGTGAATATCTTTTAGCTATGAAGAGAGTAAGAAATTACAGTGGGCTGAAAAGTAACTAAAATAGACCATTTTAAGGGCTAATTTAAGATCAGTGCTTCCCCTTCTAAAATCACATGCCACCTTGTACTCATTGGTAGGAGCCACTGACTGCCCTTGCCTCTTGAAATATAAAATTATTTCTGTATTTAGTTTTAAATTCACTTGTTGGCTAATTAGCGCTCTCCTTTAATGTGTCTAATGTAAATTACAGGCTCTTCAAGGGCACGTGCTCTATATTGTGTAACTGCCTTCAGTTACACACGTGCTCTACATATGTAATTGAACATTTGGGTTATTTCTTTTCATTGAGAATTAAGAACTTCACAGATATTTCAGTAGGCTTTAGAATTTTGTTAGTAATAGTACAAAACATACGTTGTCAATTAAATAGATATTTGAGGACCTTCAGTGTACCAGGTTCTATGGCAGTGCTGTGTATATAAGAGAAGAGGCACTTGCCCTTACCGAGCCCACAGCTTAGCCAAGTTTATAATCTATACCTATTGTTGGGTTATTTGTCTTATTTAAGGATTATGCAGTTTGCTAGCATGTAATAAAGCAATTGAGGCAATTGAGGCTTCTAACACCTTTTCAGGGGCCACATGATTGAGTTGTCTTCTTTATGGCTAGGATATGGAATTGGGGTTACATTCCTTTTTTTTTTTTTTTTTTTTGAGATAGCATCTTGCGCTGTCGCCCAGGCTGGAGTGCAGTGGTGTGATCTCTGCTCACTGCACACTCTGCCTTCCGGGTTCACGCCATTCTCCCACCTCAGCCTCCTGAGTAGCTGGGACTACAGGTGCCCGCCAGCACGCCCAGCTAATTTTTTTTTTTTTTTGGTATTTTTAGTAGAGATGGGGTTTCACCATGTTAGCCAGGATGGTCTTGATCTCCTGACCTCGTGATCCACCTGCATCGGCCTCCCAAAATGCTGGGATTACAGGCGTGAGCCACCGCGCCTGGCTGGGGTTACATTCCTAATGCTGCCTTTAATTTATCAGGGTGCCTCTTCTGAAGTTAAGTTTCTTTATAAAGTCTGGGTGACACTGTTTGCTCAACCTGTTTCACAGGATTGTAGAAAGGAAGATGTTATATAATGTATGGACTGTTTTATAAATTATTGAGCTCTTCACATATACATGATGCCATTTCTAGTATCTGACACTGTTCTATATATACTATCCTCTTGCTGAATAGTCAGTGCATTTATTTACACTGATCCAAACTAAATAGCTTTGAGGGTTTTTTTTTAATGTGGTCAACTGCCATAATAACTATCCATTTTCCCAGATTAGTTTTTCTAGCTCACAATTATTATTTAAAATTGTTAATAATATATCACCCAATTCATGTAGAAAATACTTACAGGGCTGTGGTTTTCAAACAATATGTTATATAATAAAGTCATGTTCTATAACAGAATATAACAGTTATACAGCCCTGCTATGTTCTCCAAGTTGACTTGCTGGTTAGGGGAATGCCCCAGAAATAAATGTAAAGCTAACTAATAACAAGACAGTGAGAGGATGCCCACAGCCATGTATGAACAGTGGCTTGGTGAGTAGAATGGGCAGCCTTTAAGGGGAGTGATTAGCTGAGTAACTACAGACTTATAAGAAAACATTAATTGGAGATAGGATTAGAGTTTACCTTTTTGGCAGTATGGTTGCTGATGACTGGATAAAATCATTTATATAGATTTGTGGTATAGTGGAGGGAGGAAGAGGCAAAAAACTGAACAGATAAAATAATGTTATTCTGTTGTCAAATGTCATAGGTATTTACTCTCTTGTTTGCAGGATCCTAAGAATTGACTCCATTAGCCCAGAGAGGACTCTTGCCTACCCTAAGAGAGCGCGTTGGCTCATACATCCCAGAAAGTGTCTCTACTCCAGTGTAGTCACAGAACCAGGGCACCACAGAGAAGCTCTGAAATGGAGGAAGCTTTCTTTTTGGTTTTCCTTTAGTAGTCTTCACAATGCTTCCTCTTTAGAGATCCAACTCAGATGACTATCTAAGTGCCAGCTTACATACAATTTGTTGTTTTGCCCTTTCTTTTCCTTCACTTGGGAAAGTTTAGAGGTGGAGTGAAGGAAAAGCACTAAGATTTGGGCTTTCATCCATGTTGTCTCACCTGTCTACATAAGATGTTACAAAGACCAATGCCTATTTTTGACAATGGCTTTAAAGTCAGGTGGCTCTTTGTGAAATAAATGTAATGCAAATCTGAATATATTAGTAAATGATGTTGAATCAACCATTAAGATTAATTTTCTTACAGAGAAAAAGTTGAAAATGAGTAAGGCAAGAACTTTAAATAAAATATTTTCAGGATAAAAAGTCCAATTAAAAATTTAAAGTGTAACAGAGTGAGACCCCCTTTCTGAAAAAAATTTTTAAAGTACGACTCAGAATTAACGTTTTCTTTATCTACCATTATAAAAATTGGTGTCATTGCCAACAGAGAATACTGTATTGGGGTAGTTTTGGGGATAAAACAAATTTGAACTGGCAGACCAGTTGACTACTTGGAAAGGTCCTGGTACTCCTACTAAGGTACTTATTTTAGCAAGTATATAATATTGTAAAGAATCCTAAGATGCTTAATTTTGTAAGTTTGCATTTTACTCTCTATCATATTTAAGCAAGCAGCAACTATATTTTCCACTGCTTATCATGCACCACTCTTCTCCTACTTGATAACTCAAACCACTGAAATACAGATGTAGGATACTAACAGCTTGGGGGAAGAAAAGAGAAATGATCCCCTAGCGATCCCAAGAAAACCAATCATATATGCATGTTTTTTATTCCCAAGATGAATTTAGCAAGTAGACCCTCCTCCCAATGGGCACCTCCACATAAAGTCTTTTTCATATTGCTAAGCAGAGGCCCTTAAAAACTATGCTGGCAGCTCCAGGAAAAGCTCAGTGCTTTCATTGCCTCAGTCATCGTCATTATTTATAATGTTGCAATTCAGAGTCTATCTATTGCCAATTATCTTTTCCCTGACACTCCCGCTGGTAGTTGACAGTGAGTATTGAGGGACAGACTATAACTTTGCAGCATCCTGCTTTTTATTCCAAAAGAGTTCTTTAACAAAGTTTTATGACTCAGAACAAAACAAAACAAAACACTGATGTTATTGAGGGAATTAAATCTAACATTGAGAGAAATTTGGATTTAGGAAATATGTTATTTAAAAAGTATGTTACAGTATTAACATCTGGCAATATATAATCTATTCAGTCCTTTTTCTTTTGCCATTTGTTGGCAAGAAATATTAATAATTAATTTTTTATTAAAACAAAACTTTTTACATTGGGAGTTGTTAAGAGTGCCTCCTTTTGGTGTATTCGTTTACAAATAAAAATGAAATATTTATTTTCATTTTTATTGTACTTTATGTTGTTTGCTTTATGTTCTTCTCTTGGGGTTACTTCCAAGTTGGAGATGGGAAAGTGCCCAGTGAAAGAAATGTAAAAGAATCCTCATTGGAAGCTGAACAATTATTTTGCTTTATAAGAAGTCCTGCAAAGTTTGTCATACAGTTTACTTCACTGTAAACCAAAATACAATCCATTTCATTTTCCATTTGAAGACTTGGAATGTATCATCATCTGCGTTTCTGTCATTTCACGTGAGTTTTCTTCAGGGGCTGACTTGACAGCACTAGAAATCGATACACTGACTTGCCGTTTCAGCATCCTCATAACCTTTCTCTTGTACCCTTTACATGCAAAGAAGTAGATAAAAGGGTCCATGCAGCAATTGAAGTTCATCAGGCATACTGTAAAGTGCAGAGAAATCTGGAACGAATGTCTTTGGCTACATTCCAGGAAATTAGAGAAACGAAGCTTCTTAATCATATGTTGAATAATTGCAACATGGTAAGGTGTGAAACAGAGAACAAACACAACAATAATAAGAATAATTGTGTTGAGAGCCTTTTTGTTTACACCAGATTTCTCAGTGAGTGGGTTTTGTTTGGCAGTTCTAAAGAGTTTGCAGCAGATCTGAGAATAGCAGATGAGAATGATTATAAGTGGAAGTACATATCCTATGAAACATGCCCCAAGCAGAATCCAGGGAAGAGATTTAGTTTCTTCAAAGTTTGGATACTCCATGCATGTAATCCTTTCAGCCTCCTGCTTTGACATAGGGTTGATGAGGAGTGGGAGTGTCTGAGCAAATACTAGAATCCAGACAAATATGCACACACCTTTTGCATGTTCAATCCTTTTTATCTTGTTGTAGCGTAGAGGGTGCACCACAGCAATGAAGCGGTCAATACTCAGGCAGGTCATAAAGTTCACACCCGCATATGTGTTGATGTAAAACACTAGCGCAGTTATCCTACACAAGGCATCTCCGATTCTCCAGTCAAAGCCCATTGCATAGTAGGCTATTCGTGTAGGCAAAGCGGTGGTAAAAAGTATATCAGAAATCACCAAATTTGTTGAATAGAGGGTGGTAGAGTTGATTTTTTTCCTGTTTTGAACAATGACAACCAAGGCTAGTAAGTTTCCCACGAGCCCAATGATGAAGACGAGGCTGTAATGCAGAGGCATTACTATCCTGGCTGTGCTGTGATGTGCATAGAGGTCACAGTCATTTCCCTGAGGAGGTGCAGAGGGCATAGTAAAATTGTTAGCCATTTGTATATCCATTGGTGGTGGTCAAGGTGTCTAGGAAAAACCAAGAAGTGTCATTTAAGTAAAAGCATATGTATTCAATTTGATTACTCATTAGTTTTAAAAAAATTTCAATAATCTATCAAAGCAGTCCAAACTGTCTTTTATATATCTAAGTTTTAACATTTCATGACATGCAATTTTTAACAGTTTGTAATTATAATATGGTTAAATATATGATAACAGGAAGAACAGAATAAAATTTATGTTTTTACTCTCACAATTTGCTGACTTTGGCAAAGCTCTGGCAAAGGAAACAGAACCAATTAAATAGGGCAAACGCGTTTTTGTGACAGAAGGGAATGCAGTAACTTTTTAGGCAGAAATTCCCCTTCCCTTTTTTGAATCATTGTCTGGTTAAGTAAAGCACCCCACATTTCAGACAGGCATTAACCTTTGCTTTTAAATTTAATTTCAGTTGAATTTTTTTTTTTTTTAACCAAATGCATATCACTGCCAGGAAATGAAATCAGTCACCACATTTATGTAGTGAAATACGAACTTACCACAGTGATCTGATTTGTGTTAACCTAAAAGTCTGAGAAATAAGCTTAGTCCATGTTAGGAACTGAAAGTTAGATTTTCTTTTTAAAAAGAAGAAGAAGACGACCACAACAACCATGACTAAAATGACAAAAAAAAAAAGAAGAAAGATAAAGAAAATGAGAGAGAAAAAGACTTAAGCTACTTCAAGGGGAAATTATTAAATTTTGAAACTATCAATCTGCAAGTACTCCATGGATCTGTGCAATCTACACTTCTACCTTTGCACATAGTAGCAAGCATCACACATTATATTTTGTTTCTTGCTTTGTTCACTAAACATCTTCATATCAGTGCAATGTATATATTTGTCATATGTGTAGCTTTTATATAAACATTTGATAGATATTCTACAGTTTTCCAGTGTGTCAATGCATAATTTGCTTAGCTACTCCCTTGATAAACTTTTAGATTCTTTCCAATTCTTTTCTTGTTATAAATAATGTTGAGACAGAAATTTTAAGTCCTAAACTGAAAAATGGAAAACTCCTACAATAAGGTTCTGTAGATGAGGGTAAACTTTGATTAAAGCAGGAAGAGCAGAGCAATAAATCCTGTGTGATTATTTTTAGAAGAAAAATAATTCCTCTGATAGAACTGTGTGTATGTAAATCTCACCTGGAAGTCACCAAAATTGAGGGGCACTTTCAACATATCTAGTGATGTTGCTACTGTATATTTAAGGAAATATACAGTATTTCCTTAAAGACTATCTCTACCCTGATCAAAAGCACTGTCTGCAAATCTGCTTCTCTCCCTGCTGTATTAAATGAATTGGATCTCAGGAACTTCATTCTAACAACCTTAAAACTGATGTTCATAGACACTGAGGGTTATCAGAGGATTGTGGTCATGTTATGTTAGAGGTATGCATTCTGTACAGTGTTGATGGGTTAATCATTATAACCTAAATGGAAATAAAACCTAAAGCAAAAGAGAGCAAAAATGCAAATAAAACATTTTATTATCCAGAAAAGAGACAATGGGAAAACAGCAAAGAATGAGGATGGTAAGTAGAAAACAAGAGGGTAGGGATGTGTCACAACAAACTTAAATGGGTTGAGCTTGCCTATTACAGGACAGAGACTATCGGTTTAGATTTAAAAAAAAAAATCCAGCTGTGTGCTGCTTAGAAGAGATACAGCTCGAAGTGATTCAGAAAGGTTGAAAATAAAGGCAAGGGAAAATATGTACCAAGCAAATCCCAGCCAATAAAAAGGTGGAATGGCAGTATTAACATGGAAAACATAGAATTCAAGGCAAATTCAATATTAATAGGAATACAGAGGGTCACTACAAAGGTTAAAAAGAACAGTCTACAAAGAATATAAAACTAATCATGAAATTTGCATGTAACAGCAAAATTTGACAGAATTTGAAGGAGAAATTGGCAAATTCACAACCATAATGGTAGATCTTAACACATTTGTATTATAATGTGCTAGATAAAAAAGAGATTAAAGACTTAGGAGATTTACTCAACATGATTTAAAAGCTAGTAGAACTTGTACTGAAGACACATGAGCGTATCTTCAAATTTGACCATGTGCTAGGTCACCAGAAGACTCAAAGCTTTCAGAAAATAATTATTTTCTGATCACATTGCTTGACTACAGTGCAGCTAAATTATAAACCAATGATAAAAAGATAAAAGGAAAGTTTGGAAATGAAAAAATATACTTCTAAGGAACTCATGGGTTAAAGAAGAAATCACAGTGGAAATTTTCAGATGCTTAGAACTAAATGATGAAAATACTACCTGTGAAAACTGTGGGATGCAGATAAGGCAATCTGAGATAGATATAAAGCCTTGAATGCCTTTATTTAAAAAAGAAAAGATTTAAAATAGATGTGTTAAATACACAGTTCAAGAAGCTAGAAAATAACTGTCCAAAGCAAGTAGAGGAAAACAATAGAGATAATTGCGGAAATTAGTGAAATAGGAAAGACAATAAATATCAGTTTTATATTTTGTGCAGGAAAAAAAATGGAGTGATTCTTAAATAGAAAATCATAGGGATTGCACTGTGGAATAAAAGTATAAAAATATTTTTCCATTTACTTGGGAAAAGCTTAGTGTGAGAAGCAGCTTTTCAGGAACTAAGACTAGACACAAAGGAGGGGTGAAAATTCCAGGCAATAGTTGCAGCTTTGGAATAGGCAACAATAACTTTTATTAATGTTTTTCTAAGTTCTGTGAAAATGTTTTTTTCCCAAAAATCTGAATGTATATTGTTGAGTATTTATAAGCAGATTCATGGGAATTGCCTTTAAAATACATGACGGGGGAAAAAAAAAACTTCACTGTAGAGTCTGCAAATCTTCCATATGAATAATTATTATTGTAGAAATTAGGAAAGTAACACCCATGTAAGACTCAGAGGAGAAGGTGCCGTTGCTTGCCAGTTTATATACAAATGTGCGTCTGACTGCATCACCAAATAAGATGCAGCATCTAGGAGAGCCAGAGATTGCAGGAGTTTCAGAACAAAGTTCAAGAATGTTTAACATAGTTTGCAAACAGTTCAATATCTTTCATTAGGGGATTAAATATTTTATGTCATAGCCATACAGTGGAATACAGGAATACAGCCATGCAGTGAATGCAGTGCAGCTCTGAAAATGGCAACATGAAAATGCCTGTTTCTTGACTGGAAATTATGTTAAGTGAGGAAAGCAGATTATACAACATGCCACTTTTTTGGGAGATGGGGAAGCAAATACACACACACGAACACACACACACAAACACACACAAACACACACAGAAAGATGTCTGTATGCCAAAACATAATTTTGTATGAGTAATTTTGGAGCTTTACTCATATATTCTAGATTTTTAATACTGAACATATCTATTCAAAATGTTCATTTCTGTTCAGTGACTGGAATGAATAAATAGGTTAAAAAAATTTTAATGGAAGAAAATTTTAGTTCACCTATTCTTATAAAAACCTTGTTAGCCGACATGCTTTTCAAAGCTTGCCCTTCAGAGTTCCTTTTTCAGATTTCTGCATTAACTTACTAGTTCTGTACCTTTGCGTTGTGTCATCATGTAGAAACCTCACAGCAGTCCTGTAAGCTTGAGCATTGCTACCCCTTACCTACTTACCAGGTGATGAAACTGACAATAAATACCAATTTTATATTTTACACAGGAAAAAAATTGGAGTGGTTCTTAAAGACCACGCTGGGGTTAAAGGCCATGCTGGATCCTTCTCTGTGATGACCTGGCTTCAGGTTTCTTCCTCTGTTCAGTTCTTTGCACAGGCAGCTGTTTCATGCTGCCCTTAAAGAACTGAAGGCTTGTGGTTTCAAAGTGGTCTAGGCTCTAAGGGCCATCCTCACCTATAATCATGGCACATGCACAACATGGCCCAGCTGCTCCAGAGCAAAGGGACAACTCCTTCTAAGCGCAGGGGGTGCCCACTTCAACAAGAGGTGCCTTCCCACATGAGAAGCCACTTGTGGCCACACATCATTGAGCCCCAAGGGGTAGCCTGCTGAGGGTCCTTAACTGACCATCATTGTGCGCTGGAGGTGGCCAAAGAAAGGCATTTGCAGAATGTGGACATGTAAGTGGGATGGCTTAGAAATGATCTTAGGTAAAGGTAAATGCATGCTTTGGATATTTGGATGTTTAGTAACCTCTTAAAGGATGATTCCACTAGGTAGACCTAATATGTCACTTTGGTTCTTGCTTATATTTATCCTGTGTTATTAATGCAGTAGTTTTAGCCAATTTTATGATCCCAAATTGAGAGGAAAATCCTTTCATATGCGTGACTGTTACTATCCCATTCTTACATCAGCCAGTCCCAATTTATTACAGTCTTCCCTCAGAGATAATACTTTATATCTTCCTTTAATCATCTTAAGGATTCCTTTCTGAAACTTGAATTAAGTCCATTCTTTTATTCAGCAGAAAAATGGCTGTTAGTGCCTCCATGTGCTAGATGCTGGGAATGCAGAAATGGTACCTTTTTGTATCAGAGGGTCTGGAACTGAATGGTGGATATACAGCGTTGAGCATGTGCTGTTATCTGAGTGAGGTGTTCCTCGGGATTCTTTCACACAGACAGCAGTATGTGCTGGGTTCCTCCTCATACATAGCAGTATTCTGCTCACTTTGTGCATTACAGTGCACCAGTGTCAATATTTGGATAGTATAGTTATCTTTTAATCATTTTCAGGTAGAAAATTTATTCTTAAGTATATTTTAAGTATTTTACATTTTAATTGTTAGGCAGCAGCTTCTGACATGTTGTTTAAGATATATACACTGAGGTATACTAGAAAGTATTATCATGTATCATTGTATTGCCTAGGGAAAAGCCCAAATAAATGTTTGTTCTAAATATTTTTTCTTTAGAACACTAATATCAGAATTAGAGCTTCCTCATGATGCATTCTAATGAAAAGGTGCACGTGGCCCCTCAGCCGTCCTTCGT